ACGGAATCAGCAAGACATCCTATTGGGGCAAGTGTTCCACAAAGAAGCGTGCTGGGTCCATTATTATGGAATGTCTACTTCAACGACCTTCTTCATCTCATCCCAGAATCACATGCATATGCAGACGACTGTACACTGACATTCACTTATCCAAGAGAAGAAATGCCAGCTGCTCTAAGCTACATCAATCACCAGCTGAGAGCTATATCAGCTTGGGGAAATAGATGGCAAGTAACATTTGCACCTGAGAAAACGCAAATGATGATCGTCTCTAGGCACCATGATGGTAATGCTGGTGCAGTAGTAAGGATGAATGGGAGGATGTTGGCACCTGGAGAAGAAGTTGATATCCTTGGGGTGAAATTTGACTCCAAACTAACCATGAAGAACCATGTTGTAAATCTTGCAAACAAGGCAGCCAGGAAGCTTACAGCACTTCGCCGTATCTCCCATCTGCTTGACAATAGGGGTTGCAAGATCCTGTACGAGGCACAAGTACGCTCGCACCTTGAGCATGCTCCACTTTCTTGGTTTGCCTGCCCCCCCTCTCATCTGCGACTGTTTGACAGAGTAGATAACAGAGCAAGACGTCTCATCTCTCGCCTGGACCAATCCTGGATAGATCTGTCATTTCAGCAGAGCCTTCTACACAGGAGGGATGTGGGTGGCCTTACTGTTATGTACAAGGCCAATACTGTCAAAATACCACACTTGGATCCACTTCGAGGACAGCGTGAAACAAGCTTTTATGCCACAAGACGGGCAGAAAGCAGCAACTTCACTCTGGCTGTACCCTTCTCCAGAACATCACTCCATCTGAGATCATAATACCCAAAGGGTGACTCGAGTCTGGAACACATTCGTACAGCATAATGATGTCAACGAGATAAAGTCAGTTGATCAAATGAAAATGCTGGCCCACAGATGGCTCCAACTTTATCCTGTTCCCTACTTGTATGTCTCATAACAATAAAAATGCTTTCAAATGAGCTGATGTAGGTAACAGCTCTTAGCTTGCCAATAAAGTTAGGAATCCTTAACCTGTAAATAGCTTGTCAATAAAGCTAGGGATCCTTCTAACCTTGTCAAACCCTGTGTAAAAAAAAAAGAAGAAAGAAAGAGAAGAGAGAGAGAGAGAGAGAGAGAGTAGAGAGAGAGAGAGAGAGAAGAGAGAGAGGAGAGAGACAGGGGAGAGAGAGAGAGAGAGATACAGAGAGAGGGGAGATACAGAAGAGAGAGAGAAAGATAGAGAGAGAGAGAGATACAGAAGAGAGAGAAGAGAGAGTACAGAGAGAGAGAGGATACAAGAGAGAGAGAGAACAGAGAGAGAGAGAGATACAGAAAGGGGAGAGACAGAAGAGAGAGTAGAGAGAGAGATACAGAGAGAGAGAGATACGAGAGAGAGAGAGATACAGAGAGAGAGAGAGATACAGAGAGAGAGAGATACAGAGAGAGAGAGAGATACATGAGAGAGATAAGAGAGAGAGAGATACAGAGAGAGAGAGTGATACGGAGAGAAGACGAGAGAGTACAGGAGAGAGAGAGATACAGGAGAGAGAGAGAGATACAGAGAGAGAGAGAGATACAGAGAGGAGAGGTACAGAGAGAGAGAGATTAAGAGAGAGAGAGTACAGGAGAGAGAGATACAGAGAGAGAGAGAGATTACAGAGGAGAGAGAGATACCAGAGAGAGAGAGAGATACAAGAGAGAAGGAAGAGAAGAGATACAGAGAGAGGAGAGAGATACAGAGAATGAGAGGTACAGAGGAGAGATACAGAGAGAGAGAGATCAAGAGGAGAGGTACAGAGATGCCAAAAAGATTAGGAGAGTAAGAATAAGAGAGATGAAAGAGAGAGAGAGATACAGAGAGGAAAAAAAAAAGAGAGAGAAAGAGATACAGAGAGAGAGAGAGATACAGAGAGAGAGAGAGATACAGAGAGAGAGAGAGATACAGAGAGAGAGAGAATTACAGAGAGAGAGAGAGATACAGAGAGAGAGAGAGATACAGAGAGAGAGAGAGATACAGAGAGAGAGAGAGATACAGAGAGAGAGATACAGAGAGAGAGAGAGATACAGAGAGAGAGAGAGATACAGAGAGAGAGAGATACAGAGAGAGAGAGAGATACAGAGAGAGAGAGAGATACAAGAGAGAGAGAGAGATACAGAGAGAGAGAGAGAGATACAGAGAGAGAGAGAGATACAGAGAGAGAGATACAGAGAGAAAGAGTACAGAGAGAGAGAGAGATACAGAGAGAGAGAGAGATACAGAGAGAGAGAGAGATACAGAGAGAGAGATCGAGAGAGAGGATACAGAGAGAGAGAGAGATACAGAGAGAGGAGAGATACAGAGAGAGAGAGAGATACAGAGAGAGGAGAGATACAGAGAGAGAGAGAGATACAGAGAGAGAGAGAGATACAGAGAGAGAGAGAGATACAGAGAGAGAGAGAGATACAGAGAGAGAGAGAGATACAGAGAGAGAGAGCTAGCTAGCTTTCACTGCCTTTTAACAATCAAACATTTAAACTAATGGAAATGCCTGAAATCATATTGTTTTCTGTTGGTCTACACACCCCTTACCCTTCCTAAAGCCTCAAAAAAAAAACAAAAAAGTTTATTTCTCTGCAAAGGTTACAATGTGTGTTTACATTTAATAATTTGATTGGTACACAGGTGAAAAATTTACAACATAATTTACACCCTGCCTTGGTGGGAAATGGCCAATGTGTTAAAAAAAAAAAATTACACATGGAAAATCCTGGAGGGGGCAGTCCCAAACCTGCACACCAAAATCACTGAGAGAACTCACTGAGTATCAGAGGTCCCCAACTCCAACACTCAGCAAATCTCTGGCTGTCATCAGGAGGGAACTGGCAAATTCCTCAAATCAGTTTCTGACCAGCCAAGCCGTGGTTTGTACATTCCACTGCATGCGGCCAACAGTATCAGCCTGGTTGATAAGGCCTTGAGCCACCAGGAAGCCTGGTCTGGGACCAGACTGTAGTGGTGTTAAACCACTGAAGCATCCTTCAGGTACCCTAATCAAATCTACCCTTACTAACCTATCCTTACCTAACCTACCTTTACCTAACCTACCCTTACCTAACCTAACCTACCCTTACTTCATCTACCCTTATCTAACCTGCCCTTACTTCATCTACCCTTACCTACATAAATGTTTTTAAAGTTTTATAAGGTGGCTGTAATAAACATTTTTGTGTTTTCAATAAATGTTTCAAAGAAAAATAATTTAGTGTTGATTTTTCATAAGGGGACTAATTATGGGAATCGTAGTATGGGAAGTGACATTACTGGGAGTTAAAAATACCAGTAGTCAAATTACCTGCAGTCAAATTACTGTAAGTTAAATTACCAGAAGTTTAATGACTGGAAGTGCAATTATCCATCGTCATGCGTGTAAAATGAATACTGAACAAGATGTCTTCTTAAATATTTGTTCATGATACCCTTGCTGAGGATCGAACCACAGACACCATGTGCATGAAGCAAGAGCACTGCCCACCAGGGTATGGGACACCCTACATAGCTAACTGGTGCAACAACTAGCTGTTGAGTGGTTTTAAGGGCAAGACACCTTGAAGTTGTATATAGATCAAAGTTCTCTGATTGGAAATTTAACACAGACAGCCAAAATCTAGCAGAGTATGACTGGATCTTTATTTTAACACAGCTAACCACAGCTTATTTCATAGTATCATAATTCCTCCCAACTAAATACACTGTCTTTTTCAGAAAAAACTTTGATTATCCTGAGAAATCACATTCCATACTTGCACTGATGTGCTATGTACGTTTGAAGAGTTAGGTCAGGTAAAACTGATCAGGAAACAGTATACGTGTTTCCTGAGGTGGGTCTTAGTTATACAACAACCTGCAACTGGAGTTTTTGGTCCTCTGACTGAGGCTTTCTGCTGGCTTACCAGTCCACCATTTTAAAAATTACAATTATATCCATTTAATCTCTCTCTTTTTTTTTTTTTGAACAGTTGGCAATGTATGAGCTGAACCGAACTTACTCAGAACAGACTACGTTAAGTTAAGTTTGGCCAAGAATGTGCCTTATTACTGCAGTATTTTAATCAGAAGCAAAAGTTTGCAACAAACAAAATAAAATGATTAGAGGAAAAGCAGAGCTAAGTATGTTTTTTTAATTAGACAGACTCTAGTAGTTTTGTAGGGTACTAGGTATTTTCACTCCTGACAATTTAACTCCAGTTATTTGACTCCTGGTACTTTGACTCATACAAACAAACATGACTCAAATTAACCTTAACTGAGCCTAACCTAACTTGCCCATGACCTAACCTATCCTGGCCAAATCTATCTTAATCTGTCCTTTCTAACCTAACCAACCCTAACCTTACCTTACCAAACCTAACCTACTCTAACCTAACATACCCAAACATGACTATCTAACCTAACCTAATATGATCCAATCTGATCTATCAAATTTAACCTAACCATAGCATAATCAAACCTAACCTACCTTAATCTAATACATAATTTTATATTTTTTTAATAAATGATTATGAATTAGACATCTGCATCATCTGGATATTTCTACTTTTTAATAAATGTTTAAAAAATATTTTTTTTATAAGGGGAATGAAATTACTGGGAGTAAAATTAATTGGGAGTTAATTACTGGGAATCAATTATTATGAGTGAAATTACCAGTCACCCTTATCTAAATCAATTAAAATTTTCCAATAACAGATTTTGTTTTAACAATAACTGAAAAAATCCTGTAACACATTTAGTAAGTTTATTGAGGCACAGGTACACACAAGTACAATTAATGTACATAGCGCAAATTACCTATGATACCCAAAAAAAGTCAAGGTGATTTATTTCCACTGGGATCCTTAACTATAACAAAGTGGAAAGAACACCCGTATATTATCAAACAAGCCATTGTGATACTTAATATCAGACACTTGTTCTCATCAATTCTGAAACATCATGGCCATACTGCACTTACCTTTCAGTGTCGTCAGGTTGGCCACTACCACCAGCTGGAGGAGTGGCGTTGGCAGCATCATCCATAGGTTGTCCAGGTGGGATTCCTTCCAAATTACTTGGAGGCTGCTGGGGCTGTGACTGTTGAGGCTGTGGTTGTGAAGACTGTTGTTCACCAGATGGTGCGGATTGCACTGTTGGTGCACCCATACTATGGTGAGCTTGGCCTTGAGCTGGAGTAGTGGCAGGAGTAGGTGCTGAACCCGTGCCAGGATGAGATACATGACTAACTTGTGGTGATTTAACGCTGGTGGATGGTGCTGCAGCTGTCATCTGCTGGCTAGTTCCTACAGCAGTTTGACTATGAACTCCAGGCTGGACTATGGTACTACTTATTTGTTGAGTTACAGGCAACTGCTGGCCTGTTGTCATCTGCTGTGGTGCAGCTACTTGTTGAATTTGCTGTGTTCCAGGAAGCGGTTGTGAAGGTAAAGTCTGGGTCATCTGCTGAGGTGATGGCCCACTTGTTACCACAGTTTTCTGACCTAAACTTGCTTGAGGCACACTTTGCTGTGGAAGATTTGACTGGGGCTGGGTCATCACACTTGTAGGTTGTGTAGGAACCCCTTGGTGGGTTACTACTGGTGGTACCATGCCCTGAGCTGCAATTCCACTTATCACAGTAGGCTGAAGGGACTGGGCAGGCATGCCTGCTTGGCCAATAACACCTGGCTGGGGAACAGTCTGCCCTGGAATTCCTTGCTGTGGAATAGTCTGCGTCTGCCCTGGAATTCCCTGCTGTGGAATACTTTGTGCGTTAATGGTAGTCTGTGGCAGACTTGACTGAGCCTGCACTGGCTGGTGTTGGGGTGGCTGAGTAATGGAACTTGGAGGCACCATTCCTTGCTGGATTGTGGGTTGAGTAACACTTCCTTGCTGTAAATTTGACTGCGACAGAGGGGCAGCTTGAACTGTACTCTGTACATTGGGCTGGGAAGGTGGAGGTTGTTGTAAAGGGGGTTGTTGTAGTGTGGGTTGTTGAAGAGGAGGTTGAGATTGGGGAGGTGTCTGAGCAGAGGAAGATGGGTGGACCGCAGCCTGCCCCTGTGCAGCCTGTGATGGAGCTGGATAACCCTGAGACATAGGCTGTAACTGTCCTTGCATAGCAGCACCTTGAGAAGGATACTGTAGAGTGCCTTGACCCTGAGCAGCTGCTGTTCCTGACAAATGTGTCGAAGACTGAATTGGCACACCACCCTGACTGGTTTGTGTTGAAGGAACCATGGGTGTGGATGCCTGAGTAGAATGGGGTACTTGATACTGAGCAGGCACAGAGACAGAGTGAGGCTGGGTTTGGCCTGCCTGACTCTGTTGTGGTATTGGCACAGAAAGCTGTACCACAGTTTGTGGCTGGTGGTCTCCAGCTTCTATCTCTTTAAGGCTAACACTATTAACAACCACAGAACTCTCATCCTTCTTTTGACTACTGGCAGCAGTAACAGCAGGCGAGTCCATGAAATCCAAACAGATCCATCTTCCACGTTTGAATGGCTCGTTAGAATCTATCTTAACAATTTTAAATCTATTTTGCCAGTGATTAACATCATCGGATTCACCATCGGCCTTAGCTAGAGCAATGCCACCTTCTGTAACATTAACAGTAACTCCCTGAGGTAACATGGCTGTCATAACACCACCAGATCCTGTCTGCTGGACAAGTGCAGTGATTCCATACTGAGAACTTGTAGGTATCACAGGTGCAGGCCCAAAGAACACTTCCTCAGACTTAGAGTAATCTTCAGAGAAACTAGGAGTTTCTTGATCAAAGTCAGTGACCTTGGAACTATCCATTATGTCAGAGATATCTTCAGTATCATCAGCACTATCTTCACCACCATCATTACTTAACCTAGAAGTAATACTGGTAATCTGAAAAGAGGAGTTTTTCTTCTTGGGATAAGGTTGTGAGGGTGCAGACCCAGCAGCTTGAAGGTGCAGGTTGGTCCGGTCACCATCTAGCCTCAGTGTTTCACTCGTTGTAAGGTTTATCACATTATTACTACCATGTGATTTATCCATTATCTGACTATTATGATCACTCATATTGGATGCCATATTGAATTTTTATATGAATCACAGACCTAGCCCAATTGCCCCGCTGGCTAGACGGAATTACCGTAGTTCACTGACACTTATCTCACAGACAACACTTCAGCACTTGATGGATCCATGACAGATCACCAACTCATGGCCATGTTGGCAACACAGTTGCTCTTACTGATTCTAAGTTTCTCCATGATTTTCTAAATACATATCCCCAGAATCTCACCCTTACTTCACAAATAAGTGAACGTATAGACAGAGAATTTGGCTGATTTGTTTACCTATGAACTTTTATAGATGGCGCACACAGGGTCGGCAAATCCACAAAAAACATATTCTACTCATGTGCTAACGGACTCCACCAGAGGTATAGAGGGTTGGATCCAGCCTCCACGCTGCTCATTTATTTATCCTCGTCAGTCAGGTATTGGCCTCGCTCTCTGCGCTGGAATCTATACCGATAAAAATGTTCGGCTGTAAGCTAGTGAATCTGGCAATAACACTGAATAAGATTCAATGAATATATAAATAATCTTAAATTTGAGCCATTAATACACGTTGATAATTAATGATTTATATTTATTCATTAATCTTTTACCTTCTTTATGAAAACAACAAATTCATAGCTATTTTACTTTTTTAAATACAAGAACCTTCCCAATTTTGTCAAGTAATTCGAAAAACTTTGTAAATCACATTATAAAGACAGTAACCATATACATTATATATGACAATTTTAAGAAAATTTCACACTAATTGAAACGTACATACAAAAAAGAAAATTAAAGACATTAATTACAAAGCAAAACAAGTGAACTTGTTTACGGTCTTTTTTTTTATTATTTTTATCAAAATTGGTTACACCAGACTATGTTTACCTTGATCTATATAACACTGCACAAGATTAGAGCAAAAACTAACTACATTTACTTTACACACCCTTTATAAAAGATGGTTTTTCTGTCGTGATCCAAATAGTATGAGGTTCTTGTTATACTCCATATCACCTAATATATTTTTTAATGTCACATTACACTGCACAGTTCTGCTTCTGTTGTGTTCCATCACGGGACAGTTTTACTCTCATACTTTCATCGCATTCACCTCACACAGTAAAGTCCGGGGTTAGATCCCCGGTACGGGTGGAAACATTAGGATGTCACAATATAACAATGGTTATAAATGACCATAATTTTTAAAGGGGTGGACCGGTAAGCCAGCGGAAGGCCTCGGTCAGATGACCAAAAGCTCAAAGGCGGGTCATCATCTGACTAAGACCCGCGTCAGGAAACATTTGTCCTGTTTCCTGACGAACCTTACCTAACCTAACCATTAGGATGTGTTTCTTTAAGACACCTGCTGTCCATGTTCACCTAGCAGTAAGTAGGTACCTGGGTGTTAGTGACTGGTGTGGATCGCATCCTGGGACAAAACTGACCTAATTTGAGGGAAATGTTCAGCATAACAAGTGACTTTCTATATAGTAGTATGTCACTGATGTCAGCTATGGTGTGTATACCTTGTACATGTACTGGTAGAAATAAAGATTAGTATTATTATTATTCATCACACAGTATTGTTATATTGTTATATGCTGTATGGCCCTTGTGGCTTAGCGCTTCTTTTTGATTATAATAATAACATATTGTTATACTTCATCACACAGTATTGTTCTCCTGTCATATTCTATCACACAGAAGAAGAACAAGACTTTATTACAATCAGTAAATTAGGATTAGTAACCCAGGATAACACTAGAAAATCGAGGTGAACAGGGAGAACAGATGTAAGGTGACTAACACCTAAATACCTACTTTCTGCTAGGTTAACAGGGAGAACAGATGTAAGGTGACTAACACCTAAATACCTACTTTCTGCTAGGTTAACAGGGAGAACAGATGTAAGGTGACTAACACCTAAATACCTACTTTCTGCTAGGGTAACAGGGAGAACAGATGTAAGGTGACTAACACCTAAATACCTACTTTCTGCTAGGTTAACAGGGAGAACAGATGTAAGGTGACTAACACCTAAATACCTACTTTCTGCTAGGTTAACAGGGAGAACAGATGTAAGGTGACTAACACCTAAATAACTACTTTCTGCTAGGTTAACAGGGAGAACAGATGTAAGGTGACTAACACCTAAATACCTACTTTCTGCTAGGTTAACAGGAGAACAGATGTGAGGTGACTAACACCTAAATACCTACTTTCTGCTAGGGTAACAGGGAGAACAGATGTAAGGTGACTAACACCTAAATACCTACTTTCTGCTAAGGTAACAGGGAGAACAGATGTAAGGTGACTAACACCTAAATACCTACTTTCTGCTAGGGTAACAGGGAGAACAGATGTAAGGTGACTAACACCTAATACCTACTTTCTGCTAGGTTAACAGGGAGAACAGATGTAAGGTGACTAACACCTAAATACCTACTTTCTGCTAGGTTAACAGGGAGAACAGATGTAAGGTGACTAACACCTAAATACCTACTTTCTGCTAGGTTAACAGGGAGAACAGATGTGAGGTGACTAACACCTAAATACCTACTTTCTGCTAGGGTAACAGGGAGAACAGATGTAAGGTGACTAACACCTAAATACCTACTTTCTGCTAAGGTAACAGGGAGAACAGATGTAAGGTGACTAACACCTAAATACCTACTTTCTGCTAGGGTAACAGGGAGAACAGATGTAAGGTGACTAACACCTAAATACCTACTTTCTGCTAGGTTAACAGGGAGAACAGATGTAAGGTGACTAACACCTAAATACCTACTTTCTGCTAGGGTAACAGGGAGAACAGATGTAAGGTGACTAACACCTAAATACATACTTACTGCTAGGTGAACAGGGAGAACATGTTGAAGGTGACTAACACCTATAACACAAATAACCCGCACATAAGAGAGAGAGAAACTTATAACAACGTTTCGGTCCGACTTGGACCATTTACAAGTCACATGACTTGTTAGTGGTCCAAGTATGAGCGAAACGTCGTCATAAAGTTCTCTCTTCTATGTGCAGAGGCCTCTAAGCATGAAAACTAGATTCATACTGAATATGCAAGTTTCAGAGATGTTTCGTACGTAAAAGATATGATTTTGTTGGGTTTTTTTAACCTTGGAGGGTTAACCAACCAGGATAACCAAAGAAAGTCAATGCGTCATTGAGGACAGGTACAGGAATACATATATGCAGTTATCATACATAGTAACACATGTGTAAATTACCTAGGATAACCCAGAAAAGGTCAGACAAACTCGCTTTTTTCCATTGGTGACCTTGGAACGTAATAATGAGTTCGGTTTCTCAACAGAGAGAGAGAGACGAGGGGAGTTAACTACCGTTTCCCTTCCCTCTCTTTCTCCCTCCCCTCTCTCTCTCTCTCTCTCTCTCTCTCTTTCTCGCTCCCCCTCTCTCTCTTGAGAGAACGGACGCACTATTATAATAATCTTTTATTTCTACCAGTACATGTACAAGGTATACAGACCATAGCTGACGTCAGTGACACACTACTATATAGAAAGTCGCTTGTGAGATTAGAGTTTTAGATTTTGCCACCGAAGTGGCTAGTTTATTGTGCACCCCATATCCATCCTGTGGACGGTAGCGCGAGAGCATGTGGATACCTGGAGTTTACCTGGAGAGAGTTCCGGGGGTCAACGCCCCCGCGGCCCGGTCTGTGACCAGGCCTCCTGGTGGATCAGAGCCTGATCAACCAGGCTGTTGCTGCTGGCTGCACGCAAACCAACGTACGAGCCACAGCCCGGCTGGTCAGGACCCGACTTTAGGTGCTTGTCCAGTGCCAGCTTGAAGACTGCCAGGGGTCTGTTGGTAATCCCCCTTATGTATGCTGGGAGGCAGTTGAACAGCCTCGGGCCCCTGACACTTATTGTATGGTCTCTTAACGTGCTAGTGACACCCCTGCTTTTCATTGAGGGGATGTTGCATCGTCTGCCAAGTCTTTTGCTTTCGTAGTGAGTGATTTTCGTGTGCAAGTTCGGTACTAGTCCCTCTAGGATTTTCCAGGTGTATATAATCATGTATCTCTCCCCCCTGCGTTCCAGGAATACAGTTCAGGAACCTAAATCGCTCCCAGTAATTGAGGTTTTTTTAACCCTCCTTTATGCACAAAAAAGGGCCTAGGAACTGGGCCCCAAAGGAAAAACGGGAAAACATATGGTTTAACTTCTTTTTCTATATTTCACTTATCGTTAAAAGGGCAAATTTGGGAAATTTTGCTTAGTAATCGGGTTATCTTTTTTCATTAAAAAGATATCTTGACATCCTGACTTACATCAATATTAGTGCAAAAAGAAATTGATGTCATCTTTTTGCGGGAAAGGGAAAGATTGAAAGAGGGACACCTCCCCCCAAAAATTTTGCCTGGAATGCAGCTTATAACCAAAAAGGTAAACCCAACTGTTGGTGATTATTCAAAAGAGCTTCCCACTTCATTTCCCTTTCCTTCAATCGAGTTAACACAAAATCATGGTTAAAAGGGAATATGCAGGCGTTTTTTTCCATAAACTTTTTTTAAAACCAAAGCCCCAGCGAACCCTTAAACCTATCTTTAACCAATCGCATCAAAGTAAAACCTACCATCATTTTTTGGAGTTTTTAAATTTCCAACATAAGAAAAATTGGGGGGGTCAAAATAACAAACACCAATGGAACAAAAATAGGATTGCAAAAAGGGGAACAGAAAAATTTTCGAATTGGGGGCACTACGGACCTACCACATATATGGTGGCATACAAAGATTCTGTTTTTTTTGGTTTTTAAATAAAATCATATACGAGCATGACTCGTCAATTTGTTTATCTTCTATCTGACATTTCCCCAAGACTAACAACTGAAAAATTTTTTGATCAATCTCCAGCAATCAAGGACTAAATACAAAGGAGGAAACTTATTCTCAACCAAAAAAACAGAGCCCAATTTTAATTAACCACGGGAAATAAAAGGTTTAAAAGAATTACAGCCCTTTTGGGCACACAAAAATTTAAGATGATTAATTACCACTATTGAAGTTTCCACAGATCAATTTGGGCAGGAAAAAAAAACCCAAAAACCCCCCACTATAAATAACAATAAAAACCAATGAAAAACAAAAAGATCCACACCCTGCGAAATCTAACACATGCATTTGGGAGGATTGGAAAAACCCAACCTTTGAATGTAAAACCCCCAAACCCCTGCTCGGGGAACGTTCCAAGCTGAAACTAACAAATGCAAGGAAAAAAAAGGAAAGAACTTAGGAAACCCGGAATGGGAACTTTTTGTTATGGATT